TTTATTTTTTTTTTTTTTCGTAGGGAATTGGCAGGATTTCTGATTGAGATTGTTTTTCAGGGGCCTCTAAGTTTCCTGGGTTCCTTATGACTCCCTTTGAAGGTTGGATTTGGATACCCCCAGGAACTACCCTGGCAAGGTTTCAAGGGAGTTTGGGTTTACGGTTTTCAGGGTTCAGAGGTTATGCTTCTTAGATCCTGTTGTGAGCATGGTGTTGTTGCCGAAAGGAGTGCTGGTTTCCATTGCAAGTACTCTTTGTTGATGGTAAGATGTGCAGTGGAGCGGCATTTGACTAAATATGTCTGGCTCTTTGTGGCATGCCAGTTTTGATGATGAGGTTTCCTATGCAGGAGGCTGGGAGAGTTGTGGCATAACAGGCTTGGGCCAGTGAAACAAGCTCTGAAGAGAGACCCAAAAAGTTGAAGATGCAGAAGCCCTCTATGGTTTTGATTGGGGATTGCAAGGTGGAGCAGGGAGGCGGAATGATCGGCGATCCCAAGCACCTGTGGCACATGTGGCAGGCCTCCTTCCTACAGACAGTTTTCTTGAAGTTCTCGCTGCTGTATAGTTTGCTGTCATATGATGGCTTGGGTGAGGCTTCCGTTCTCTGTAGAGAGATTTTGGGCAGCGTTATGTTCGCATGATTTCGGTGTGATGGGAGTCGGACATGCCACTCAGCGCATGCTGAGTATGCAGTAGTGCAAGCAAAAGGCACAATTACGCCTACGGAATCCTTAGCATGGGACCCCGTGACCTCCTCATGGCCTCAATGCATCACCGAAATCCCTTTCGGGTCCTTGTCTGAGAAACCTCTACATCAGCATGATGGATGATGAGCCCGCTCCAAAGCTATCAACTCAAGTTCGAACTAGCCGCTTAATAGTGAAACAGATAACCCACCACCCCAAGGAACATCGCGGATACCTACCCTTCCCCTTCCCCCAACGAAAACCCCCCAAAACCTTAAGCTTCAAACTCCAAGAACAGTTGAGGAGTATTTTTGGCATGCAACTGAGTAGCTGGCCCCATGCCCTTGGTGTCCTGTTTCTTTCAGCCTGCCGTGCCTTGAGGGTTCCACAGGCTGAGGGACACGAGGGCTACAGAGTCTGGGGAGCAAGTTAGCAATGTGTGGGATCTGGAAACCTTGCCAGCATGGCATTTTATCAACTTCGGGTGGCGGAAAAATGCCCGAGAAAAAAAAACTAAGAACAACGTGCGGGAGGAAGCCTATGGGGCAGTCCGTGTGGTCGTAAAGGTCACCACTCAGTGCCGCGCCTCTTGGCCACCGGTCCAGTTGGGTGTGGGTTTTTTGAGTTCGGAGTGTTGAGTGAAGGGTGGGGTTCAGGGTTGAAGGTTTGGGGCTTGGGGTTCAGGTTGCTACTTACCATGTTTAGAACAAAAAAGTGCTGTGTCGTATAGCCGTGGCCACCATCGCTCCCATTATCGGTTTATGGTTGCAACCGATTGTAACCACGGTCAGTTATATTTTAATGATGATTCCCGCGAAATGGCCCTAAGACCTAGGTGATCATTGTCTCTAGATTGGGGTGTTGGGCAGCTGACCAATAGTTTTTTTGGGCCCCCGCGTTGCAACACTGGCACAATAAATCTCATTTCAAACTATATAGGGGATTGTCAATGTCATGGCCCTCTTCGTGCTCTGCATATTCGGGGCGGTATTCAAAACAGGACCTAATTTTGACAACCTACCATATGTCGTGGTCACTAGTAGTGCGTGGATTTCCTGTTGGCAATCAACAGAACAAACTGCTAGCGGCTGCTGGCCACAGGTAGCAAGTTTTAGGGTTCACACTTTGGGTTCGGGGTCAAGGGTTGCGGGGGTGCAGATTTTACCCTTTTGTGGATGCCTCAGATGTTTGTTGCCCCTGCCACTGTACGAACATCTCAGATCGAAATCCCGTCGGGCTGGGACCCTAAAGCCTTCATGACCAGGGAGCACCAGGACGAGCTGGAAAAGTTGGGTCGTTGTATTCTTGATGCTTTCCATGCAGGCTGTGCTAGAAGAAGCAAGGATTGTTTTCAACAAGCTTCTTCCTTTTGTCACCGCTCAACATACAAGCGCACCAGATATATCTACGTCCGGTTTGGATGCTTATAGGATGCTGAAGTGCGGCGTGCTTCCTTTGAAAGGGTACATGTCTAACTAATGTTCGCAAGATTTCGGAGCCAGCCGTATCGGACTTCAAAGGATCGTCAACAAAAGTGGCAACCATTATGTTGCATGAGCTGGTCAATCGTGGTACTGAACGAGCAAGAGAGTCATCGCAGTTCTCACTGGAGGGCCCGGGATTTATGGAGGATATTGAAGGTTATCCCTTGACACACGACTTTTAGATTTTGAGAAATAGAGGGATCCCATCATACTTACCATCACCACGTTTGGTCACTTCAGGGCGGAGGGGGGAGTCACCTAAAGGCTGGAAAATCATTGTTGTTCAACTGGCTGGGCGCCAGCGTGCAAAATGAGTGGCCAAGCCCCTTCTGTCCCAAGAAGCATGCCCCAATTTCCTAAACCTCAGACAAGTGTGCTAAGACATACGGGCAGGACCAGTGGAAGGTGTGCAAAGGAGCCATCCCGTACCAAGATGGCGAATTCCCTTCGGCAGTCATGTGGCTGGCCTATGTTAGGGACGAACTAAAGCAGGGGTACCCTGTGGAGAGGCTTTTTCATTCGCTGGGATCCGCGAATTGGTTGGAGATTCGTCCGGTTTCCATGGGCCCTCCTTTAGGGGATGTGGAGCATGTCCCTCGTGCCAAAGACAACTGGGACCCCAAGATGCCTTTGCACATCCTGCCAGGAGCAGTTGTACGCGTGAATCTAGCCGTCTTTGCATACCTTCCCGATTTAGCCAAAGGGTGGGAAATCCAGACATCTCCGGGAAAGGACAAGAACAATCACTCTGCTTATGCTCAGGGCATGCGCGCGCTCTGACGAGGCGGACCGGAAGTATGGCGGCCAAGACAGGCTCCATGATAGAGTTGACTTTATTTTAAGCTTCAGGGTTTGTGGGACTTCAGCCCCACCACACACTACATGCAAGGAATGCGCGTGATTTGCCTTGACGTGTTGAAGCTTCCATGACTCAATAACGTGGACTTGGTATGCGCTTGAGTTGCCATGAAAATGAGACTCGAAACCTCCTCCAGTGCTGGGTGCTAGCAATTTTTGGCAGACACCCCTGCAGGAATCGCATGGTGCGCTATTTTGGATGCGGGAAGAGTCGCGTGGAGGTGCAGCACGTATTGTTAAGAGCCTCCTCAACTTGTTTCTCGGGTGCATGCTAGGCAGATGGTGGTGCAGCAGCTTGACAAGCCTTGTGGTAAACATGTGCCATGAGGCTCCCTGAAATCTTGTGTAGAGAACTCCTACACTCTCCTTGCTACACCCCACAACTTTCTGTACTCACTGACGGACGCGAGTTTGTCAAAATGGCACCTGTACAATCTTGAGGATGGACACTATTCATTTTCCTTGGAAATTTCTTTTCATGCCCTGTATTCTAGAGGTACTACCTTGATCCAAACCCACATCTACATTTAGGTACCCATGTTCTCAGCCCAAAGTTTGCATGAAAGCTGTCTGTCGCAACCTTTCAGGTAACGCACCAGCATCCTACTAGGGATGAAGGGATAGTTGTGCGCATCACCCATTTTGTTTTATAGGTTTCTCGATCCTGATGGTCGTCCCCATTGTCCGGCGTTGGTGCTGACCGGAGCTTTGGCCTTCACCCCCCCTTTAGTGCGACGGCACGTCCAGGGACCTGCTTGCAGATGAATGGCCAGAGCCGGCCATTCCCCTTTCACAGGATACGGTGGTGAGTGAGTGAGTCCCCAGAGCGCATGGGTCGCACGTCGCACGTAGTATCCGTAGAAGAATCTTCGGAGCAGTGCCTGCTTCTATAGCACGGCGGCTGCGCATTGCCCAGCACAGAGGTGACGCCGTCTGCCTGGTTTAGTACCTTGGAGAGGGATGTTTTGCGGACGCGTTTTTTTTTTTTTTCCGCAGGCCTCCGCGAGGTTGACACGCAGTCTTGCCTTCATGCAGGTTTTCTGGCTGCGGGCCTGCCTAGATGTGGTTTCGCGCAAAACGGCGGTCACATCCTCTTGCCTAGCCGGGCCTGCCTGCCTCAGAACATTGTTTCTGTGGTTGGGGCGTGTGCTGGAAGTGCATTCCATGCAATGAAGCCTGTGGAGCTGCGAGAAGCGAGGGAGCGGCGCTAAAGCTAAAGGCAAGGCTAATGCACCCGTCACGACCCACCCACTCAATCACTCAAATACATCAAACCGGTGCGACTCCGTTGTATGAGCAGCCCCAAACGGCGACCCACAAGCTTGGGAACCTCTGAATGGAACGGGTACACTTTGTTGTAGAGCTGCCCAACCCTAAACTTTCCAAAGCATCAAACTCCACGCGAAGTCCTGAAGAGAAACTTGCCATATGTGAGTTCCTCAACATCACTGTTGCATGGGTGGTTTGCCAAACAAGCCCTTCATGATCCAGAGGGGGCCACCGTCACCTCTTCTGGTCATTGTATATTCTTCATATTGAGCATGGGATCCCAAAACTTTCTTCAGTGGGGCCCCAGACAGGGCTCCGAAAATTCCACCTGTCTGCTGGACATCCTTAGACCACAAACCCTGTACACGAGACCTCGATCAGCAGAAGCCCCCTTAAGTTCCCATGCATACCGAACCCCTCATGCGGTTTTCTTGGATTCTTTACAGCCGTTTTTGATCTCCTTGTAAGCCTCGTGTAGTCCCTGAATGATCGTAAACTTGTGTAGTCCCTGAACAGTCCCTACATAACCCGTCTGCAACCTTCAGCAATGTCCCGGCTCTTGCTGTTCCCATATGCTCCCCGCACAGTGATGGAACGCATACCACCTGTAAAGGCACTTTATAGTCTCTACGTATTCCTTGCCTAAAAGTTTAAAAGACGCCTATCCTAACGACCCCTAGGGCCAGTTGCCATGAGCCAGGTCGAGCCGCCAGTGTCCAGGAAGGTTGGGAGTTTCGCAAAACAGGGAGCTCCTGGCAACCCCGGGATTTTGGAGGGGGTGCCCTTAAACCCGAAGCCGTAAGCCTTGAGCATTGAATGCTAAGCTACAAACGCTACCTGCCTGAAGAATGACATTCTACCCTAAACCCTCTATACATATCCCCAATATACCCCTGTATAAGCCTATATTTCCTGATTGTAGTCAAATTTCCAGGTCACTGAAGGCTGCCTCAGCAATTCGGACGATCAAGTGCAGGTGAAGGACCAGCTGGGAACATCCTTTTGGGGACAGTACACTTAGAGTAGAGGTATATAGGGTTTTCGGGATGCATGGGGTTTATGTTAAGGGTTATGTAGGGATGTACAGGGTTTAAGTATAATAAAGGAGAACTACATGGAAGAGCAGCTGGCCAAGCAAATGGACAATTGTATTATGTGATGCTTGTACACGGTTCATGTTTGGGGGGGAGTCCTTGTAATCAGGATTACAATAGATTGGGGTCTAGACGGGTCCCCTCTTGATGGAAGCCCACCATATAGAGGGATGGAGTACGTAGGGTGCATTTTTGGGTGATTTGCAGGAATTTTGGCGTTACAGTTTGGCATCCAGGGCTAGGGGACTTGAGGGATGTGAGTAAAGAGCCAGCATAAGCACTTCGAGCTGATCGTTTGGAATGATCATTTTCACTGGCATTTGTGGACAGTTTTGTAGTATTCTGGGAGATGATCACTGGGTCAACTAGCACAAGGATGCCTTTTGTATTATCGGGTCCTCCGTAAGTCAGGGAAGGCTGCTGTGGATTTGGTCCACGTATTCTTGCAAGGTTCCTCGTGAATCCTGAAGGTAGGCAAAGCTTCATGACGTCAACGCTAAATGCAGATCTTGAAGCGGAGTCGATGTGTGTTATACTCCAGGGACAATCAATGAACGTTATTTCTGAAATTCGGCGAAACACATGCCCAGATGGGTGTTGAAAGATTTTTCACGACCCGGGAAGGTGAATGTGGTGGGGTTCTGCAAGGGATGTGAAGCCTTGGCGTGCGGCCGTTGCCATTTTGGCGCCTTTTTGGCTTTTTTGGAATTGCCAGCTGAGTAGCAATCTTGCTGAGTCATGCGAGGGCTATCTTCATGAGGGCAAGAGTATTTGCATGTTAAGAATGGTATCCGATTGGATAAGGGTCAGATGGCTTGATTACCAAAGGCAAGTAGAGGAGTGAGTGGTCCTGTGTGCTTGACACGATATCATGGGACCTCTCTGGAGGTGGCAGAAATACGAATGAGCGGGCTAGCGAAGAGAGTCTATATTTCTCGAGATGTACATACACGTGGCACCCATATCTTGGCCAGTAATGATAGATGTTTTGGTGCCCTCAAAGCTCCAATTCTTTCATTTTAGCTGCGGTGTAGACACTGGTCCCGCAGATGGGGACGGTGGTGGTCTAATGCCAAATACATTTTTGTTAAATGACGTGTCTGCTCTGGCAAACCCTTCGGAACCATACACCTGAAACAGGACCCATTGAACCCGTGAACCCTGCCAAACTAAGCCGCCTCCAGCGTTACTCAGGACTTCCTGAACTCCATGTGCTCGGCACAGGGACTCAGTGATCGCTCCTGCAGGTTGCACCTGGCATTCACCAGAATATCTAAAATCTGCGGTACAGGGATAATATAGGGTAATACAGGGATAATGGAAAAATAAAATGGAAACTACTGTTTGTGCCAACCCGGCCGTTCAAAGCTTTCAGGCTTGGGGATTAGGATTGCAGGGGCTTTCAATCGTGAAGGAGTTCAGGGTTTCGGGATTCAGGTTTTCCTAAAACGTGGCCGTTCTTGCCGCAGAAACAGCGTTACAAACATGCGCCCGATAGACGTGATCCGTCTTCTCATCATATTCGAACATCACCAAAGATTATTGAGAGTTCCCCACGGGACTATGCATGGTGGGGGTCATAGTAGTGTTTGATTGATTGTGAGTCGAATTTTGCTATGGTGGCTTAAAAGGTCATTCCGAAAGGATTCCATCAAGTCGAGTATAAACACCAGAACGCAAACATTTTTTTTGACACTGTGTCTTGAGAGGGAGCTTTGGGATTGAGGGGTTAATCTAGTCCTTGGAGCTGACCCAGTAGCACGTTCCCAAAGATCTACTTGCACCGCAAAGAGCCCACGGAGCCCTGCGTTCCTATTTGGGCATGTTCACAGCACACGAGGGCCACCTGTGATTGTGAAGACGCGGTCCACGGTAATATCGCACGTGGGCTTTAGCAGCATGAGGTACGGTCCGTTCTATGGAGTCTACAGCCACACGGCAGAGGACCTTTTTGGCTACCATTCAGCGAAGGCCTGACATCAAGCGCACTTCCCGAGATTTTGCCAGGTCTGAGTTCTTTGCCTCAGGGGGACGGCGCTTGGCCGCGGGGTGGGCTAGCTTCTGTGTCCATACACCATTTCTAGAATCCTGGACAGTCGGAACACTTGGATATGTGTGGTTGACCACGGGGATTGCACAAGGACAGCATGGGTATCGAAGCCTAGATTACTTATGCTTCAGCCAAGTTGTCATTTAGCTATGGTCGCCCGAACTTCCAGGTAGATGTTTAGAAAAAGGTGCCAAAAATTCGTCTTGTCAAGCAGGAGAAGGAGCAGTGCGATGCCATTCTTGAGAAGAATTTGGAGGACTATCGGCGCTTAGGGTGCAAGCTGGCCTTCCAAGTTTGTACAGAATACTATTCCCCTACTTGTCAACCGCAAAGCAGCTAGGCACCCTGCGACACAAACAAAAAGCATAATGGTGGGTATGTGGAGTATGATTTTCCGCATCTTACTCTTGCTGTTGCAACAATGATGCATGGCCCAAAGTACCTTGAAACCTGGGAACTGTCGTGTTTTTGTATAGTGAAGTCATGCAGGATGTCTAAGTATAAACGGTAGCTTGGCTTGCAGGAGGCAGCGGAGGAAGAAGTTGAAGCGACCACTACGCCGGCACCGCCCAAACGGAGGAAGAAAGGCGGCGGCTTCATGTTCCGAATTGAAAGTTCCCGGCATTTGTTCGCATGAAAATCCCGCTGGCAGAAAGAGCTTCTTGGTGTTCCCTGAGATTTCGCAGCCTGCAGGCAAGAAGGGGAGCAAAGGCAAGAAAGGCAGGAAGGGCAAAAAGTCCTCTCTGCTAGAGGAAGGGCAAGAACAGGAGCAAGAGGACCAAGAAGGGCAGGAGCAGGAGGACGAAGGAGGGCAAGAGCAGGAGGATGAGCAGGAGGACCAGCAGGAAGACGAGCAGGAGGACGGGAGGGCTAAAGCCAGGGTTGTACTTTAGATTGAGGGCCAGGAGTGTGATGTAGATTCTTCCTGGGTCATCAAGAGCTTTTGTGGGGGGCTCTTAAGGTAGTGCTTAGGGACCCCCAGTGTCTCCAGCCTCTCCCGCCCAAGGGCGCTTTTGAGAAAAACGCCCCCTATTGATTCAAAGTCTGAAGCCCGAAAAGTCTAAGGTCAAAGTGCAAACCCCTGAACACAACACAATTCAGGTTAACCTGGATCTCCATAGAATGCCCTTTGAAAGAGATCAGTAGTCTGCATAGTGTGATGACTTTTTGGGGCTTCATTCTATTTTGAGGGAAGGTAAATAACCAACCCCACACCCCAAGCTTACAAGGCCTAAATCCCAAAGCTGACGACCTGAACCTGACAAATTTTTGCTACCCAGATGCTTCAGTGAGGATTCCGCCTTGGACGATGAGGATGAGGGTGATACAGAGTGCGCCGAACCGCAGGCGAGCTGCAATTTTGAGATTGGGGTTCCCAAAAATGAGAGCTCTTCTTGCTCATGATACGGATTGTGGTCATAGTGCTTTGGAATTTCTAGGAGAGCTGGTGCTGGAAATGCCCATAAATCTAGATGTGCGCATTCTTTCGGCGGAGCCTTGACTACACATCCATTCCACATATTTATTCCCTGGTTTTAGGATGCAGTGTATACAAAGACAAAAGCTAAACGCTACATGACTATCCAAGCTTCTGCATCAATGAGCCGCGGTAGTCCTGCATTGCAGGGTTTCCTACTGTTTCCCAAAGCAGAGCAAGAATCCAATATTACGAGGGTCAAAATGATCCTGCAAGGTGTCACACTTAGATGCCAGGGCTCGCCCGCTCTTCTCCGAATTTCTGACCCCGAAAAATGTGAGATGCTTCAAATCACGTCATGGCTTACATGTGAGACTGATGTCTCGAACTTAAACACAGACTATAGTGGGAACATGTAGGATTTTTTGATGGCTGGCATCGCAGCAGTGACGTTTGATAAGCCCTCTTCTGCAGATCTTTCCCACTCAATCTGCTTCGGTTTTTGATGGGGACGACTGGTCAGTCGAGAAGGTTGCTAAGGGGCAAGGTTTTTGAAAGCAGGAATGGCCTCATAAAAGCTGACCAAAGGCTTAGAGAAGCTTTCACATCAGAGCTTCTCAAAATGATGGGCCGTACATGACGGCAGATTTGATTTAGGATCTAGGGTCAGGGACGTAGGAGTTAGGCCTGCATTTGGGACTATAAGTGTTTTTCCCGTAAACAGCGGACCAATGTCGACCCCAAAACCCTAAACCTTAATCCCTAAACCCTAAACCTTATATAGCCTTATTTAACCCTGTCTATCCGCTATCAAACCATATGGTTGTTTCCAAAAATGGCGCGTCAGGAATTCATGAAAGGGCGCATGTTTGACCCCTCCGATACAAACCTTCACAACGTCCCTTTCGTCAAGAGTCCAGCACTACGAAACATACCCCGAAACATACCTTGAAACATATCCCGAAACATAGCCTGAAACATACCCCGAAACATACCCCATACCCCAATCCAAACATGCCTTTTTGACCACGGCTTATACGGAAACACCCATATAACTGTACCCCCAACTGTCGGGGAACCTTCGGAGGAACTCACACCTGTTTGCTTTGCCCACGGAGGCGACAGCTTTCAAGGGGCAGCTGAACCGGGCTATGGCGGCACCTTGCTTTCAGAATTTGGGGCTCTGAGGCTTCACGGTGGCTCTTGGGTGTTTATATATATATATACATACACACACATACATACATACATACATACATACATACGTACATGCACAGTGAATTATGTATATACAGGTATGCAGAGGGGTGTCAGAGTAGGTGGACATGCGAGATGAGCATCCAGCACTTGGTTCATGTCACAGACAGGGCTTGAAAATCCGACATGCAATTTTGGTTTGACGGTCCTCCCCACCAAAACTCAGACATGCATAGTTTTCTGCCCGCAGAGACGCAGTAGGTCAGCAGCAAGCCCGGCAAGGAATACATCTATGGCAAAACTCCGCCTCTGTCCTACTCGCGCTCACGAGAGTGGCAGAAAAAGTCGAAGAATATCCAAGAAACAAGTCCGAGGCCTAGCTCCGCAGTGCCTTTTGAAATTCTACAGGGCTCACAGAATCACGGAGAGACTGCGCAGGCGTCGAAAGGATCACTGGGCTTTTCAGAGCAAATTTTCCAAAGCGCTTCTTGTATCTTTACCCTGAAGCAGCAACTAGCACTTGCAGTCTCCACTTGGGTTCCTGTAAAAGTACGGAGAGCGTGTGTCGGAGTGCAGGTAAGATGTTGTGCAGAATCTTGGGGCTCTTTCTGGGAGGATCTTGACATAGTAGTTGGTTTTGGGTATACCTGTCCGGAGCTTCGTGGGTGCATGTGTTTTTTCTTTGGTTTTGAGGTTGTGTTTCCCAGGGTAAGGGTTCCATGTGACCATTCAACATGAAACCCACACACAATTGGCAGAATGGAGGCCAAACGGAAGAGGAGAGCTCCCGGAGTAGTGGAGGGAGTTTGGCAGTATTAGTGTTAATGTCTACTTCGTCCCGTGTCATCTTGTCAAGACTTCTGGACATTCCTCGAGATTCGTGTTGGACTAGCTTGACTTCTGTGCACTAACACTCAAGTTTTAAGCTGGACCTGGTGGCTGCTGACAATAAATGTCATTTAACTACCCTACCCGATGCAGTCCCTTTTTCACAAGACACTGGCCCTTGTGGTGCCTCGTTTGGGCTTCCATGTTTCTTTGTGGGAGGACATGCCCTAGACCCGGAATTGAACCATATTCGCCAGTCTACCTGAAAACCCAAACATTGGACGCGGAGATGAGAAAGCCGCAGGCAGCCCGCTGCAACGCGGAAGTTCCAGAGCCTAAAGCATCCCCCTTCCCCATGATGGTAATGGTAATAAGATTGTTATGGTAACATTTTAGCAGCAGTACTAGGTTACTGGGGATAGTAGGAGTAGTACTGGCTTCTGCCTTGACGTCACATTCCCTTTTTCTTCCCACTATCCAAAGACGAATCTGACAGTAAGGGCTCAGGAGGTGTTCAAGACCAATTTGTTGAGAAGCCCGAGAAAACCTAGACCCTCACAAGGGGGCAGTCCTGACATTTCAGTGAGGGGCCTAAGTCCTTAGTCTTAGTGTGAGATCTTGCCAAGCTTTGACCCAAGTGCCCTCAGCTGGAAGAATGTAATGGGGTTTGGAGAAGCCAGGCCTCAGGTCAGCATGAACTGGGATCAGGATAGAAAGCAGGGTTCATATTACTCAAAGTTGTAAGAACAGCTGCATCTTTCCGCCAACTAAAGCCTGAATCCCCAACTTAACCTGGACCGGAATAAAGGCCACTTAGTTGCCCCAAGTAAGGTTTGAATGTCCAGCCTGTGACAGAAAAAGCAAGCCAAACAAGCTAAGGTTGGGATCCTAAGACTATGGACTGGCCCTTGCCGCAGGATGTCGGGCCATAGGGCTTTCTAAGACTGAGAAGAGACAGTATAGCATCAATGTTTGGGGTTGTGTGTTTACTGGTTCAAGGTTTCTGGTTTGGGGTTCAGGGTTAAGGGGCTCGAGGGTTCCTGGTTTAGATTTTCGCGTTTACGGGAAGTAAGGGTTCAGTGTTTTTGCTGTTGGTTTCGGAGTGTAGGGCCAGAGGGCCAAGGGTAGGGATTGGGGTTTAGGGTTTGGTTTTAGGCGAGGAACGTGCATACTCGGGACTATCATAGGGCTTCGTGTTTCCACAGTGATGGTGCATCTTATGGTCTTGTAGCACGCCATTTCTTGCTTGCAGGTGTTATCCGTTTAAAAAGCTAAACGATCGCGCGGACTTTGATGTGTTTCTAGGCTTGGGATCTGGGCTGTCTTGGAATCATGCCGCTTTTTTGAGAGAGCATATTGGGCAGCATGTTTCATGCGCCCAGCAGATAAGATTGGGCTCCGAAGGCACCATGCCAGGAAGCTGCGCTTCGAGCCAGCAGATAGTTCGTCGCACGGCAGGCCCCACGAATAAAGGCCCCCACAACGAAGGCATCATGCTTCTGTTTATCCCTCACTTGTCTGCCATCCTGCTTTCGATTTTTGTTCTGACTTTTGCAGTTTTCAAAGTTCCTTTCCCAGGACCGTCAGCTGGATCCCCCGCTCTCCGAAATCCTTCGCGAGGCGGCTGTTGTGGAGCATTCCAATTCGGTGCTTCCATCTCCCACTCTACACACAATCACGGTAAAACACTCCCCTAAAATCCTGTTGTGTTGGAGTCAGAAGAGGGTCTTTCCCAGATTATCTACTACCAAGCAGCTGCTCGCCCTGTATTCAGTTTGGGAGTTTTTGCCGGGGTGGGCCAACACTTTCAGAAGGCATGCGTGCGCAAATGTTTACGGTTGCTGTCTAGAAAAGCTCTGGCACTTGTGACAGCTGCTGATAGGGTTTGTGGGCTTTGGTAAGGACAACATGATACAGAAAACGAAGCCAGAGCATCACTGAGAGTTGCGCGGGAACACGAGTACAAGCCTTAATGTTCTCTCGAAGGCTCATACAATTTCACGGATAGTTCTTAGTAGAGGTATTAGCAAGGTGTTCATAGTTGTTTCCAAAAGCTCAGATACCGTTGTTTCTACCTTCGCATGCGTTGTCATGGTAGTCAGACTGCTACTTTTTTCTGGTTATCAGAATGGTGCCACCTGATCACAAACCATAAAGGCTCCCATGCTGTCTCAAGGGCACATGTATTTGAGAAGCTCTCATGTGGAGGCTGAGGCCGGTGAGGGCCTGATGATGATCAGCTACATGGCAGTGAGTAAGCAACTCTGTTTCAAGGGATTGCAGGGGCTTCGCGGACTTGATAGGGACTATGTGGCAGGTGAGAAGGATTTCTGAATGGCATGGATTCAGTACTGAGGTCATGACAAAGGTTCCGATGGTGCACTAATCACATGATTTTGGTTTTCGAGTCTAGTGCTTGTGGGTTTCCGGGCTCACTTGGCGTTCGAGGCGAACTGAACTCGCCGTTCCGTGTGTCTGTGACAGCTACCTGAGAACTGACACAGCTTGCAAGAAAGATTGTACGTTGGCTATGGGTCATTATTCAAGACAGGCTGGACACAAGATACAAGGCCTTTAGACTCATCGAAGCCCTGAATGTATGTTGTCAGTTATTCCCAGCATCAAAACAGGTTGGGTTTCTTGTGGAATTTACGCAGGTCTTGCAAGAAAGGAGTCGAAACTATTCAAACACTTTCGTGACACAGACCAATCGGCTTTACATCACGCCAAAACGTTGACATTTCACATGGCTTCACAGCCCTAAATCCATGCATACATCCTTAAAGCTTATCCGAGTTCAGCCAAGGTTACGGTTACTCCGGGGCTGGCAAGACAACCACACTGCAGCTCGTTCTCCGAAAGGTTCAGAATTCAAAGCTTAGGTTTTGGGTTGGGGCTTTAAGAACTTTTGTTTGCAACTGAAACGCAATATGTGCTAGGACTCTTTTTTGATACTGCAGTCGTCTGCTTGTGGAGTTTTGACTCATTGGCAGTTACCAAGTGCTCGTGCGGCTGAGGTGCTTGTGCGGTTGCTATGAGAGTTGAAGTAGTGTCTATCAGAGGGTTCAGGCCAGCAAATGTCAAACGACTGGAACATGCGTCGCTTCAGGCCTGCCGACCAACTAGGACGCATAGCGTTGACCCCTTTCCATCCGCTTGTAATTGGTAGCTTCCATAAGTAGGGAGACCCCAATATAGACCCCAAAGTATTGTTTACTATACAAAATACTATACTCCCTGTTATGGGGACCACCCAAAAATTTACCACCCTTATTTTGGGAAACCTCCAAATCTTGTTCATGGTTTGGAAGAGTTTTTGTTATTTCCTAAACTAGGCCATGGAGATCCCATCTTACACAAAGCCCAGAGAGTCCAGTTCCTGCAAGCAAGGTCACTCACGCTGCGTACTTGCACTTCGGCCCTCCATTGACATAAGGATCATTTTTAATGAGCAGGCATTTGTGTTGCTATGGGAAAGTGTAGAGTTTAGAGGAGCCCAAGACCTTGAAACTCCTCAGATCTCCAGCAAATTTTGCTGGAAATCCACCCGAGGGGGCTGAGCCCTGAACCCTTAATTCTAAACTGGAAAAGCCTTGTTTGCTAAACAGGATTGGGGACGCCACAGCTCCGGTGGGAGGCGGCCGTGGCATTGACGGCGTTCTCTCCATCTACCTCAAGGAGGGGTTTCTATTTGAAAGGAGTACCCCAGACATCAGGACTCGGATCAATGTTTGGGAATTTTGGAGAAGAAATGTTAGCCACAGAGCACATGCCAGTAAGCTGTTGCCTCTGCAGTATCAGCAAGAGACGTGCCACATAATAGCCGAGCAATTTTAGACTTGATTGACAGGTGATGCTGATTGCAAGGCATCCTTCTGAATTTTTTCATTGTCGCATCGTGTCTTTGTGGTCGTTGGCATCTACAATTTTTGTTGACATTGGTTGTGCCACTGAAAGGAGAATGCTGACAAGATCGAGGATCCTTGGAAGAAGATGTTTGGGTTTTGGTATTCAGTCAGGAGTGCAGGAACCTAGTATGGGGTGGTTTAGAAGCTTGCAAGAGGGTAAAGCTTTCCTTCCCTCAGAATAGCACCGAACGGCCTGAAGCTCAGGGAGCAGGAGGCTGCTTGGACCAGTTCCCCCTCAGAGCGGATGCAGAGTGTGTTGCAGTTTGTATGGAATTGCAGTTTGTGTGGAATAAGTTTCACGTCTCTTGCACTGCACGCTTGTTGGTCAGCAGTTCTCGAACAGCTGCTGTCCATTTCAGCAGTGCCACAAGGGCGGGAGTGCCTAG